CAACTGTCGGGGAGCACCACCACTAGACGGTCTCCCCTCACAAGAGATCGCAAAGATTTTTTGACTGGTCCTCAAAACCGTCACACCACGTCAGGTGAAGGAGCATGAGATGGTGGGAATCTGGCTCTCCCCCAGGGGAACGCCATCAAAAACCATAAAAATGCTCTGAAGGACCGTTCCAAATTGAGCCTGAACTTTTGGAAGTGGAAACTGGGCACAATCCCGCAAAGGCGCGGTACTGGACCGCTAGCGGGGGGAGGCGGTTTAGGGGGTGGAACCAAACATTTTCCCCGATTCCGACACGGTTCTGTAACGCAACAAAAACGCTTTATCGTAATTTCCGCAATTTCTAGATATGTTTATAACATAAAAAAACATTAATTAGTGCAAAAAAGCTTTGGTACAAGACCAGGGTGGCCCGAGTACGATACGTTTCTTTTTACACCCCATTGCTTCCAATTTGCGGGCCCATTCGGCCAAAAGAGCCCCCTAATAACCCCTAGCATATATCATTTTCTGGGTGTATGTCTATGTGTATGTGAGTGGAATGGATAAAGACCTGTTGCCCTTCACCCCCCCACCCTTTGATGGGCCCAAATGGAGGGGCCCGGGGCACGGGTTTTGGGCCCCTGGCCCGGGCAGGAAAGTAATATTCGGTGCTCTGCTGCTCTATCCCTCCATCTCCTCGTCCTCCTCCTCCTCTTCCTCCCCGCCAGCGCACAAATATTCTACATTCGGGCGGGACCCCCTCCTGCGCACCACGCAACGGAGCATCCGGAGTGAGCACGGGCCACATCCACCTCCCCGTTTGGCCGAACGAAACACTCTCTCTCGGCAGCCGGACGGCTCGACATTGATTTGCATCGGCGGTTTTTGGTGTTTTTGGGGAATCGATTCGCCCAAACCTGCTGATACTTTTGTTTAATGGGACGGGAAAGTTATGCTTATGGATTTTTTAAGATTATACAGCTTCCCTGACATTCCACGCGCACTGGGTGTCGAAATTCAGAATGTCGACATTCATAAAGTCGAAATTTCATGATTCCGACAACTCAAATTGTCTAAATTGACAATGCCGACAGCTCAACTAGCCGAAATTGCGGATGCGGTCATTTCAAAATGCCGAAATTCATTATGCCGACAACTCAACTTTTCGACAGACAATGTCGCGATTTCCGAAAGTCGATATTCCTAAGAAACGAGGTAGGCCTTTAAAACCTATTCCGGGTTTCATATCAAAAGCACGGTCCAAAAATACCGACACCGAAAAATGCCGACAGCGGATATCCCGAAGATTCTTGATTCCAACCTTGAAAATGCCGACACTGAATGTCGCCAATCAGATGCTAACTTCCAAACTTTCGGAATTCTGGCGCTTTTAATACTTTGCGTATAATTTACCTTAATCTACTGTCAACGTTTGGAATACCGAATTATCGCTTTTTCGGCATTTTTTCGCGTTTTTCTCGATTTTTTTTCAGATTTTTCGAGCGAAGCCAAACTGGAGCTTAGGTTTAGGATTGGGCTTAGGCTTAGGACCTCGACTTGGGTCCGTCGGTGCGCAAAACGGGATGAATGGCCAATGCCAAGAGGCGAGCGATGGCGAGACGGCTGAGCTGAAACACGATTACGAGCCCCCGAGTGGGGCTGTGTTGACGCGTCGATCCAAAGTTCTGCCCCAGCCGCAGCTCTTTTCGAGTCAGTCGTTAGTGCCTAAACTGAAGCCTAAGTCTAAGCTTAAGCCTATGCCGAAGCCTAAGCTAAGCTTAAGCCTAAGCCCAAGCCCAAGCTGAGCTTAAGTTTAAGCCTAGCCCATGCATCAGCCTAAGTCTAAGTTTAAGTCTAGGCCAACTCTAAGCCTAAGTCTAAGCCAAGTCTAAGCCTAAGTCTAAGCCAAGTCTAAGCCTAAGCCGAAGCCTAACCTCAGCCTAAGCCTAAGCCAAACCTTAGCCTATTTCGAAACCAAGCCGAAGCCGAAGCCTAAGCCAAAGCTTAAACCGAGCATAACCCTAAATCCAAGCCAAGCCTAAACATATATTTTGTAGCTTGCCCCACCGCGTTTATTCCGAGTATCTGAATGCGAGAAGGGGTGCTTTTGAGTGACGGGGGCAATAAGGAACCCATAGTTATGCCCACCCGGGCGAGCATTGTGCCCTAAACGGTGGCCAAAACACGGGAGTAACACCCCCCGTAGTATCGTTTAGGGCGCACGAACTTTCGAATTCAGGTGCGTCGAAAACATTGCATTCTACCGGGAATTTGAGTGCTTCACTTTTTTGCTTTTGTAGTGGACGGGAGCTTGTTTTTTTTTTGTTGTTTGGGAGTCTGAACTTTTGAAAAGGGAATGAAAAAAGTTTGGTTTCGTTAAAATCTTAGCTGGCCTGAAAAGAAGCTTTTAATTTTCTGGAAATTTTGATTGTCGGCATTTTAGAATTTTGCTAATTTTCCTTTGCACTTTGGCGGTATTTTGCTTTTGGCATTTTCGCTTATAGCTTGTCGGCATTTTGCATTTTTGTCTGCCCGGATTTTCCTTTGTCGGCATTTTGGTTACATGCATCTTCATTTCAAGTCCGTGTCGGCATTTTCGATTGTCGGCCTTTTCTCTCTGGATTCCGGCTTGTTGGTATCTTGGGCGTCACGGTTATGTTGTCGTTATTTAAGCTTTTCGGCATTCTGGTTGTCGGTATTGTTGTTCGTCGGTATTCCTGTTTCCGATCTTGTTTTTATTTGCCGGCATTTTAGCTCTTGGTATTTAAACGCATCGGCATTTTAGCTTTGAGCATTATTTCAGTCCGTATGTACCTGTCGGCATTTGATTGCCGTAATTTTGGGTTGCCGGCATTTCGGCATTTTTAAGATTAGTATCTGGAAACTGTCTATTTTATAGACAAGTCCTCAAAAATTCATGCATGATGCCATCGCCTCAGCCAAAGTATTTAGCTGCTTATTGAAGGTGTGCCGCTTCCACTTATTTTCCCTCCCCATCTCGAGAGTCTCCCCTTTTTTCGGAATTATTCGTTCCGCATCGCCCCCTTCTCGATTATCAGCCCCTTTCCATTATTTACTACCTACGCTATTCTCCACCTCCATTCCCTTCTTCTTCTTCTCCTCAACCTCCACCTCCAGCCCCCACCACACCCAAATTGCTCTCGCAAAAATAATAGACGTTCGTCTGGAATGGCCCAGTCGATGGACCAGGTTTTTAGGTTTTGTTTCTCTAATTCCCATCTCTCGCTTTCTCTCTCTCTCGCTCTCTTTCTCTCTCTCCCTAGCTCTCTCTCCCACCAAAAACTCCGCAAGAGTTTTTGAAAAACGACTGCCTCGACTGACCGATTTTTGAAAGTTTAGGTCCCGCAGCAATGGAGTTCTCTCTCTCTCGCTCCTCTCGCTCTTATTAAACTATTTTGACGACGATTTTGAAATTTAGAAGCCGTAGCAGACGCCTGCCTCCCACAAAAAAACAGGCGCGTCGAGATGTTGTATAGCGTACAGGTGCGTTTTAGAGCGTTTTTCATTTTAAATTCGACGTCTTAGAAGGTCGATATTCCCAATTTTGGCTTTATGAATTTCGAGTTTTTGCGCATACTAACCCAGTGTTTTTGCGATTTTTAAAGCTTTAAGAAGACCGCATACTTTTCTGCATAGTCCCGGCGGGGGGGGGGACTGACTATGGCTATAGGCTTTCCCGCTATTACCGCCATTTACCCATTCCATCCGGTCCCCCCCCCGCCAATGGCCCAAATAAAGCCGGGGCACCCATCCGAAATTCCGGTCCATTCCTTTTTTCTGGGCACCCGCGAAAAACGTGAAGGGTCCGCGATTTTCGGCAGCGGGCAGGAGGAGGTTGCGTTTGTTATGGGGGCCTTTTCGAGGGCATCAGGTTGGGGTCGGGAATCAAATCTGCTTTTTGGCCTTTTGTGCCCTTTTCTGCGTAAATTCGTAAGGATGGGGGACTTGCCGCGAATCCCACGACCACCAGGAACATTTTCTTGAAAAAGTGGGGAATGAAAAATTGACTGAGAGTGAAAAATTCTAATTCTGCTAGTAACACGTTTAAAGGAACCAGAAACCGTCCCCTACTTAAGCTAGGCTAGGCTTAGGCTAAGGCTTGGCTTGGCTTAAGATTAGGCTTAGGATTAAGCTTCGATTAGGGTTAGGCTTAGGCTTCGGTTAGGCTTAGGCTTAGGCTTAGGCTTTGGTTAGGCTTCGGCTTCTCTGCGCGGAAAATTGTATTTCTTGACCTACTATCACAAAGATCCAGCATCCGCGTGGACCCCCAATTCTAAGCGCAATCTAGACAGCCCCGCGCATGTTTGAGAGCCCCAAAAACGCATCCAGCGGCTCGTTGCCAGGTTTTTCATCAATCCACCTAAATTTTTCTTGATTTCTCTGCCTTCCGGGGACCTTTAGCCGGCCCCGACGATCTTTGGGCCCGAAGGTAGACATGTCTATTCAAAGGAGTAACCAAATTTGGGGCGGATGAAAGGGTGCTCGGGCACGACGGCGTAGATCAGTAGCAAAGTCTTCCATTCACTACACGACGCAACACCTGATGTGTGGGGAACCGAGTAGTGAAAAGGAATTTGGCCGCGGGATGCCGACCGGAAGTTCTGAAGCGATAAGTTGGGCAGCCAAAATACTGAAATTCCGAATCCCGATAGCGAAAATGTCGACAGCTAAAATGCCGACATCCAAAATCCCGATAACGGAAATATCGACATCCAAAATTTCGCCATTTCCTAATATCGACAACCCTTACATAGACAGCCAAAATACGGACATTCAAAATACCGACAGCCATAATTCGGGAAGATTTTTTTACTTGCTTTGAATAGTGGAATTTTGACTGCCGGCATTTTGCTGTCGGCATTTTTGCTGTCGGATTTTCGACAAATAGAAAATCATGCTTTTCGAAGATCTAAAATCCCTAAAATCCCAACGTTTTGTCAGGTTTTAGTAGAAAAGCTCCGATAATTCTCGCAAACTTTCAGACAGTGCTGATGGAAATGGTGGTGATAGGGTTAACGCACGTCGCCCAAGGCTCCGACACCACATGTCAGGTATAAAATTACAATTTTTACAAAAAAAATACAAAATTCTATTCAGATCCACCAAAACGAGACGAAAGCCCAGGATTTGGCGCAAGTGTTGATGAATAATTATTCGAGGTTTGGAGAGGGTTTCCTTAGACCAAATTTGTGTTTAGAAACGCGTTGCCGGAGCCGAATCCGGTGAATGTTTTGGTGGAAATCACGATCCAGGACATTTCCGATATTTCGGCCATCACCGGCACTTTTGTTATCGATTTTTGGATCAGTGCGATATGGCTTGATTCGAGGTTGGTAAAGCTGGATTTTTAGAAGGATTTTGGCAAAAAATTACTTTATTCTTTTAATTTTTTCGGTATTTTCGCCATTCTGTCGGGATTTTCCTTTGAAGGAAATGAGGCTCAACATTTTGAGCCTGAGCATTGGGGAGCCGCCAGGGGGAAGAAAAAGCCTGGATTTTCGAGATTTTCGCTATTCTTTTCGGGTATTTAATGGCATCCCATAGATGATCGTAAGCAAAAAATAATATTAATGCTCGTTTTCGACATTTTCGCCATGGTTTTCGAAATTTCGAAAAAATGTGTTTCGATAGCCAAAAAGTCGAATAAGATTTTCGATTTCAGCTCAAAAAGTTGTAAAATAAATTCGTTTTCAGACTTTTGCAAAATCTTTCGATGTTAGTAAAATCCGTTTATTTCCAGATTACAATTCTCACATATCGATCCGTGTCGGAAAAACCTATCGCTGGATCATGACATGGAACCGAAGCTGTGGTCCCCAAATGTTTGCATCGTCAATTCGAAGGCTACGAAAGTGCACGACTCGCCCAAGCCGAATATCCTGTTGATGGTTCGTGTTTCTTCCAAAAATTGTAATCGGAAACTTCGTTTTTCGATTAAATCCAATTTTCGACAATGCCCAATAATTTTAATAACCATTTTAACAAATTTTCAAATGGAAAAACAATCTAAAAACTTAGAAGCGCATGCTTGAAAACCGCGAATTTTGATGGAAAAGTGTATTTTTTTTGTTTGTTATAACAAATGTTTACGTTTTTCAACGTGTAAAAATAGTGAAAATCAGTCTAGAACAAATTATTCTTTCCGATAAAATTGGATTTCAGATTTTCCCGAACGGGACCACCTGGCTGAACTACCGTATCAGATCCGAGGCGCCGTGTATTATGAATTTGAGGTAATGCTATGTAACGAAAAAATGCTAAGATCCTGGCAAAAACCCGACAGCCAAAATGTTGACAGCCAGAATCCTGACAGGCAGCCAAAATGGGCGGTTCGAAGGAAGTGGTGTTCAAAATAGCGTCAAAAATATGTCGGTATTTTGGCTATCAAGAGGTGTCGGTATTATGTCGAAAATCCCCCTATATATTTCCGAATTACCGTAACCCTTCCAGGTCATTCCCCCTCGACTTTATCAAATGCTCGCTGATCCTCGAGAGCTATTCCTTCAACGCTGCCGAGGTAGGTGCCGGGTTACGGTAGATGTTCCACCTTTCAGGTGACGCTCCAATGGCTCGAGTGGTCGCCGGTAAGCACCGTGAAAGCCGACTTTAATCTGCCCGATTTCCGCATGACAAATATTACGTATGGCAGTATTACCGAGGTCAGTGTTTAAATTGCATCTAGGCTAGACTACTAGGCATATCTAAACGTTTGGGAAAAATTACCTCCCCCGTTAATACACAAGTACCGGAAAAGCAAGCAGCCTTTTTTCCAGATGTACACTGCCGGAATTTGGAATCGCCTGTACGTCGACATCCACTTTGAGCGACTCTATGGGTTTTATATTTTACAGGTGCTTATTATTAAAATTTTCTACAAAAATCTCAGATGTACATGCCGACGTACATCTCGGTGTTCATCTCCTGGATCGCCTTCTGGATGGACACACGGTTAGTCGCTTATTTTGCCAGGATTTTTCCAAGTTTTAGCGCGCTCCCCGCTCGAATCACGCTGTCCGTCTCCTCCCTGATGGCGCTGACATTCCAGTTTGGAAACATTGTCAAATCACTTCCAAGGGTAAGAGTTAGAGATTTAAGTTTTTTTATACTTCGGCTTATGCTTAGGCTTAGGCTTAGGCTTAGGCTTAGGCTAAGGCTTAGGCTTCGCTTGTCAAATCTGCTTGTCTTTGCTACGGCCATGCGCTAAAAATTTTCGGAGTACGAAACTGCCCGTTTCCAGGCCTCCTACGTGAAAGCGATCGACATCTGGATGTTCAGCTGCGTCGGGTTCATCTTCTTTTCGCTCGTCGAGCTGGCCATCGTCGCGTACAACGACAAAATGGAGGTAGGGGCGCTAAATTCATAACGTACCACGTTCCTTTTCAGGACCAGCGGTTACGTGAATATCGGATGACCTCGTTGGGGCATATTTTTCAACAAAACGGGAACGGCCCGGAAAGGACGTCGTCGTTGATGCATCGCAGGTAGGTCGGAGGCGTGGTGTAGAAGATGAAACGATCGATCTTGAATACAGGGTTGACTTTAGAAGCACACAACTCTTGATGATGGACCAACGACCGCATATAAAACTGTCTGAAGACAGCCCTGCGCCGTCGCCTCCACCCTTCCGGAAATTACGGCGCAACGACTTGGGGGCTTCGATAGACCGGGTGGCGAGTATGGGATTTCCGGCGGTAAGTCAATCTCGATTCATACTAAAATCTGAAATCTGATTCGAAAAAGGTTTCAGTTTTCTATTAAAAAATTCAACATCTGAATTGCAACCGGAATTTCGAATTTTTGAAGTTTTTTGATACATACATTGTTTTCCCCTCTAAACCATTGTTAAATTTTAGAAAAACTACTTTATATATTAACCTTGATGGTGCTTTTCTAGACATTTACAAAAAAAAAGAAAATCTGGTGCTTTCGCATTATCGGGGGGAGCGAATTTTTTTGTCTGCTTCTAAAATGCCTATAACTTAGTAGCAAGTATTTTACTAGTATTTCTACAGAATGTAAAATTTAGCCATATTTAGACCACAAAACCATCTAAAAACTTTTCGAAACGTCGAAATTTCGGGTAAAAACCGGCCGTTTTGGGCTATTAATCGATATTTTTGGATTTTTCATAAAAAAAATGGTTAATTTTTTACGATTAAGGATAGTAAAAGTACTTTAGAAATAGTTCCGCTATTTTATTCAGGCATTCGCCATCTTCAACATGGTTTACTGGACGTACTACCTGACGACGCCTACGACATTCCAATGAACGGCGCACAATTCTCGATTTCCTCGATGTTACACGGGTCACTCAGTGCCATTATCACCTTCCAATCTTTTTGCTGGGCATAAATCTATTTATTGACTCGAATTACGGCAGTGAAAAGGGGGACAAAAATTGCAAGATTCCTAGGGCTACTTCAGGCATATGGTGGCATGGAGAGAGACGGGCTTATGTTGGCCGACGTTCACTTTTTCGGCTACAATTCCGTAGTAGAGGCCGGAGGCGCAGAAGGAATCCTGAAATGGGTGAACCCTTTGAAAGACGGTTCTTTCGCATTATCGGGGGGAGGATATTTTTATATGTCTCGAGATGCCAGTAATTAATGGAAGCCTTCTATTAGTGTTTTGAGTAAAATACTTTCTCTAAACCAAACAAAAAAACATCTAAACCGTTTTGTAAATTCGAAATTTCATGAAAAACGGTCATTTTTGGTCGATAAACCTAAATTTTCGTATTTGTTACTCAAAATGTGTAAAGTTTTTGTCTTTTGAGTACGGTTGTAATGTAATAATTTGTAATAGCAAACTTGAATCCTTAGAAAAAGGTGGTACCCTGATAATGATATGGTAAAACTCTGCACGTTAAATTACGGAAAGTCGACAATTCAAAAAATGTTGAGCTTTTAGGCGTCCGTAACGCTCCTCACACCACTCTCCTCAGACTTACATGTCGGAAAAGATCACTTATCGCCGCATTGTAGAGAATTCGATCTGACCAGGCCGGGCAGAGATTACGCAAAAATTCTTCTTTCCCGGTTTTCTCGTTAATTCCGTAGTGTCGCGATGGCTAAAAACCGCGTTTTTTATGTCCGCGGCGGCGAATTTTTTATGGAACCAACAAAAAATTTCGCGCAGTCAGGCGAAAATGTTCATTTTCACGTAACCTTAAGCCTTGCGATGACCAACCTGGAAAAACACACTCTCCTCGAGCAGCTTACCCGCAAACACCACCTGCGCCAGCTCGCCGTTGTACTTTTTCACCTAAAACGCCCCGTTGAGGTGGGTTTTAGAGAAAAGAGAGAAGCGATAAAAGAGAAAATTAGGAGAAAATAAATATTGGGGGGAAGCTGCAAAATGCCCAAAAGGTTCTGGGGAATGCGAGCACAGACCATTTGCCCGCGGCCCAGTTTGAAGAACCAGTCGTGGATTGAGTGCAGGTCGAAACGGTGCTCCTCCACGGTTACTGTACTCTGAAAAAGATAAATATTTAAAAAAAAATAGCTATGAAAAGCTCCCAGCTTTATCAAAACCGACCCTGCCATGCCGATCCCGTTGTTCAATAGCTTCCAACCGCCCATCATCGCGAGTTCGCGCAAAAGTGGAAGCACGCTGTGTGTTTGCCAGATCCTACAATCACAAAAATAAAAGAGCTAAATAACAAAATAGCCGTTTAACACTGACAAAAATTAAATAGGCTACCCCAAGCATGGCCGTCTCGTGAAGTTGCGAGTTGAACGCGCCGGCGACGATGATCGAGTCCTCGCGCAACCCTTCGGAATCCAGCCTAAAACTTGAAATTAAAATCGGGTCATTATTGCCTTACTCTTTGAGCAACATTTCGATCTGCTTCTCGCGTTGTGCGGCCGCCCGGGTTACTTGGGGCTAAAAAAGCAAATATTTTTATCTGGTACTTTCCCTATGGCCTCAAATATGCCTAATAATATAAATAAAGCATTTTGATAGGCTTCTAATAAATTTAACTATATTTAAAGTCTAAATCCAAATCTAATTTAAAATCTAAATCCCTCAAAAAACCGCGAAAGCAAGCCGAAGCTTCAAACCTGTTCCATCAGTTCGTTGACATCTTCAAACGGTACCGAATGGAGGTTAATATTGACAAAACTAAATTATTTGATCTTTTTCTTCAATCCCAAATTTCTTACGTGAATTCGCGACCGTAGACCCGGAAACGAGCGAGCAGAAAACCGGTCCGCTGATTTGCAATGTCGCGGCGCCCATCCGAGCCCTAAACATTGTTTTTCTTTAAATTCAGCGCCAAACACCTTGAAATTTGAGGCAAAATTGAAGGACAGCTCAAACGTCGACGAGATGAAGCCGTCACACTCGGGCCGCCCGATAACGATCTGCGTGAATGGTAAAACAGCGTCATGAAAAGTACCTCCTCGCCACGCCGCAACTGCTGGTATCCCGAATTGCTGAACCGATCGTAGTACCGCACTTCGTCGGCGTTTTTGAAGAAGTACAGCGAGCCAAGACCCTAATAAGGCGGTAAATGTTTTCGGAAAGCCGTACCGTATTCGTAATGTCGAAGAAGCCGCGGACCGCCTCGAAATTCCCGCTCATCCGCGGGTCATGAGCGATTCTGAAAGCGCCGGATTTTTGTATAAGTCCAGAAATAATTATTTAGTATTAAATCGTAATTATTTAGACGGTTTTTAGTAAATTTATTTATTTTTCAAGTGGCAAACTATCCAAGAAGTTTTATTTTTAAATCTTTTAAAAATCTAAATTTTGATGGATTTTGGTCGAAAGGTCGATATTTTTGCATCTTAACCCAGCGTAAAAGCTATTTGTATTAGAAAAATTGGATATAAACGAAAGAAAGTTCGTTTTGCCCCTGACACCCCCCCCGATAATGTCCAAGCACCACTTAGTCTTCCAAGAATTCTCACCCGCTTGAAATTTTTTGGGCGAACGCACGGGGGTCCTCGTTGGAGAGCAGGCCTTGGACATGGACCTAAAATCGTTTTAAATGTTAGGTTTTACGTTAATTTTTGGGCATAAAAATAGTTTTCAACGTCCAAAGACAAAAACCTACAATTCCCAGCTCGGGCTTCTGCTCCCAAATCTCCTGGGTCACCTCGCGAATCCACGAATCGAGCTCTTCGGTCTAGAAAAACGGGTTTCATGTTGAACATCGGGGTCAATTAACCTGTAGTCGTAGCTCGGAAACATCGCCAGTGACGGTGACCTGCTTGATGTAGTCGGTCATCGCTGGGAAAGGATTGGAAGGTTAGTGAAACAAAAATGGGAGAGAGAACTGAAATTTCTAGGCTATCTGGAGCATCTATAGTTTGTAAAAAGGTATAGTAAAGAGCGCCGGCTCGATTTGGAGGGGCGCGGCGATGGAGGTGGAGGTGTGCGCAGCGTGAAAAGAGGAATTGACGAGTGAGGGAGAGCAACCCGGTAGATACAGACGATGGAAAAAAGGGCGGAAAAGGATTGATGTGTCACCCGGGATTGAACACGGCAATCACCCAACCCCCCACCCACCGCCGAACACGCCCAACCAACCCTACGAACCCTGGATGTCCTTGAAGGAAAAAGGAGGAAGAGGATGATGAGGTAGCTTGAAAGCCACACATAACAGACTCGGGAGCGCCAATTTTGGATTTCAAAACGTTATTTCATAACAATTCTTTCTCGCAGATTAGCCTTTTAGTCTTTTCACAATTTCGAGCCCAGAAATATCTAATGAGTTAATAGTTTTTCGGTTTTTGAACGAAAAATTTGTAAAATTATTAGGCCTAGTAATAGTAAAAACAGTGTGCAAATATTTATATTAGACAATGAACTCTGAAGGCAACGCCTGAAACTTCTAGGGCCGATAATAAATCAAACAAATTCTTTTCGATGCCAAAAAGACGATTACCTGGCCGTTAATCACAGGTGAATTTCCAAAAAAACGCCCACCCTTCCCCGCAACCTATTGAGGGCCTGGAACCGAATGTTAAATAGAATGTGACTCAACCAGGCGGCCAGTGCTTTTTTCCAACCTCAACTCGGCAAACACAGGTTTAAAGGCCCCGATAAATCAAGGGAGCGCTTACAATGTTAGTCCTGTACAATCTTAAAATTCGGTAAAGCTGCCCGAGTTTGGAGAGGCAATTTTACTGGCGTTCGACCACACCCAAACGCAATTTCACACGCGGAGCGGCACCTCATGCCCTGTTCGCACCTCACTCGCCCGGCCAAAAAAAGGGACGGAGAAATGCAAAACCGCTTGGTCGTTCGAGTAGATGTGTCGAAACCAAAGTCGCCCCCTCTGAAAAGATAGAAACTTTTAAGGGTCCTGGCAAGTCATGGCTATGGATTTTTTCTCCCCCGGAGCCCGCTACGACTTCGCATTATGTTCCGGCCAAAATATATTCTAGAATCGATAGTGAGAAAACTAGGAATGATGAAACGATACAGTGTACTGCATATAGAAGTGAATTTTATTTTGGAACGAGCAACAACAATAACAATTAACGAGCTAAACGCCCGGACATGGGCGCCACTTCGAGCCATGCGGAGGGTGAGCTGGGGCTAATAAGTCACGGGGGAAACTGTGTGTGGGGGCGGAGGGGCCGTGCTTTTCGTCTCCGTTTTCTTTTTCGGGTCTTCGCATACTCTGTTAACGCGCCGGGGCCCCGCGCCGGGCCACAAAAGCCGCGGGATCAACAACAAACAGTTGCGGCCGGGGAAGGAGGGCGGAGGAAGGTAACGGAATGATGAACTAGAAGAACCGAGAAATTCTCAACTTTTGGAGGACCAGAAAGCTTAGTATTTTCGGAAACTGTCAAATTTCCCGCAGGAGTTGTGGATGGGTGAACAACATGCCAACATGCAAATATCTAGGGTAACACTGCACCTTGAGAATGGCACAACATTCAAAGGAGTAAGGGTGTACAATTTCCGGGATATGGTCAAAAGAGTGATGGTTGTTCACGTCCAGTGCAAATAGTACAAAAGCTGCTAAATAGACTATTGAGCTGAGGAGCCCCGAAAAATAACAATATGTCTGTGGGATAACGGGGGAACCGGTTGAATAAGTGACGCAGATAGGAGAGAGCGGAAGACGTCTAATTCGGCCCTTCCGGCGAGATCGAGATGTACTTGTTGAGATGGGTGAGCTGGCTGAGCACCGCCTTGGTCAGCGGGGTCGACGGGGCCGAGTCCTTGATTTCGGCCGCCATTTGCTCGTGGTCGAACCGGGTGGGTAGGGTGTTCGGAAGGCAGATGAGCACCTGGAAATTAGGGACATTATAATAATCAATATGCGGACATACACGACACCGAAATTCACCTACCTCGTTGATATCGTCCGTAGAGGTGACCCTGAAGACGTCCGAGTAATAGTGGGCCACTCTGGCCTTGATGTCGTGCGATATGGCTTCATCTCTGGTGACGAGGTTGAGCGCGAGTACGCCTAAAATAAAAGCTATATTTGGAGATGCGAGTAGTTACCGTTGGGCTTCAGGCAGTTGCGCATGTTCAAAAGGACGTCATCTTCGACGAAAGCGATTGGCGGGCAGGAGAGACCGCTGTCATCCATCGCACCAGCCAAGTCGACGAACAGGATGTCGAGCTTGTTGGCCTCATCTGAATACAGGGATATTTATCCTAATCAATAATTATAAAAACGTGTTCTCTTAAACCCAGGGTCTTCTCTTAACCCTAAAATCCAGATGAAATTTAATAGTAAAATGGATATATTTTGGACAATTCGAAAAACCTTGAGCACGATAAACTGCTTGAAATTACTAAAAAAAGCATACGATACCTGCAACTGCCGCCTCGTGCAAATAGTCCAACGCATCCATGACGCGCACCTCCAAGCGTGGGTCCTTATGCGGTAGGCCAAAGTGTTCTTTGGCAATCTTGACAACGACCGGATCCAGCTCGATGCTCACACAGGAAAGCTAAATCAACAAATAGGGTATACATGGTAAGCCTGTTTTGAATCAACCTGTTTTGTATTCTGTATGAGGAAAGTGGTCAAAAGGCCACCGCCCAGTCCCAGGATGGCCACCTTCAGCTCGGCAATATCGAGGCGGAGGATCGGCTTTTCGGGGTGGAAGCACAGGGACAACAACATCAGCTCCTGGTACTCGGCGGCCAGCTCGTCGAAGCTCATCACTCTCTTGCCTTTCTTGGCCGCTAAAATTATATCTACGTAACCCCAAAAAATCCCGAAATATTTTTTTCAGGTTACGCAAAAGGCGTACGTTTCATTTTGGCCTCTGTTTGGATAAGATTCTGTGAAGAGCTGAAGACGAGCCGACGCAGCACTTCATCGTTAACGTCGACCTCTTCAACCTGAATTAAAGAATCAAGCACTATCCAAGTAAAGGCACGACTTACACTCCATTCTCCATTGATTTCCGACTTTCCGCTCGCGACGCTCTTCCTGACATCGGTGGCACCCATCGACAGGTATTGGAACTGAAAATAAAATTTTAGAATCAAAACATTTATTCGTGGCACTAAAACTTACCGAAAGTTTAAAACATAAACTACACCCACCTCGCCGGTCAAATTACCCGGGGCCCAAGTGGTCGCGTAATGGTTCAGTTCCTGCTTCACAGTTTCCATGCACGGATACTCCATGTGACGGTAGAGGTGGACGACGGCCAGACGGTCCGCTTTGCATTGCATCCGCAGCACGCGGCGCCCGCGCTCCGTCCCGAATATCCAGTCGCAGTCACTAAAAAAAATACAAAAGCTCTTCAAGGGAAGGAACAGGGCAAAAACTGAGGTGCTCCTAAGTACAAAACAAAAACCAACCGCCCGAGGGGTACTATGAATATAGCGTAGCTCTCTAGAGGCCCTTCTTTAGCGTCCTTGTCAACGAGGAACACCTTGTACTTTGGGTTATTCTCGTTGTCGTGCAGAATCACCGACACCTCTTCGGGCAGTTGCCTAGAAAAATTTGCATGTTACGCCGGAAAATTCTCACTGGTGACAATGGAACATGAATTGGCCGAATTCCTGCTGTGCCCGGATCAGCTCGTACAGCTTGCCCACGGAAGGCACGCGATCCATCTTGGCGTCGCTGCTTTTTGAGAATTCTAACGGCATCTCCTGGAGAAAAGATTAAAACTTGACCTAAACAAAAACCAACCATGGGGTGACGCAGCTTTGTTGCGACCAGTACAAACACTGGCATTCGGAATTCGGTGTCGTGATCCGTCCCCTTGTGCACGCGCAGAAAGAAGCGTGAACTAAAAAACGATGATACCCCGCAGAGGCGCCTACCGTAGCTGCTCAACCCAAAAATTGATGATGTGCTCCTGCGCCAGCGTGATGATTATGTAGCGGCCGTTTGCGGCAAGAACACTAAACAATATTTACAAGCAATGAGGTAAGTCCTACCGTGCCACCTCGCTAAACATACGGCTGACCACACTTTTGTTCACGTCACTCGGATCCGGGGGTAACAAGGCGTCCAGCGTTCCCTTGTCCACCACTACATTGAAGCTCTCATCTGCGTGTTTGAGCTAAAAATTTTGAAATTCAGGTTGAACGCAGCTCCAACCGCCGTTGCATCGCCTTCCTCAAATACGAGACCGCTTCGTACGCGGTTGCGGAGTTTCTGGTCGCGAATTACGCGGCTATCCGTGTCAATCGAGTGGATATGCTGGTAGCCGTTGTCGTAGAGCTTAACAAGCAATATTACCTCCCGGCAAAATTCCTAGTACCTGCGAGGCCAGCGCCGAATTGCCGCAACCGATTTGCAGTATTTGATCGGAGGGCCGTATGTACTTGTCGAAGACCGTCGAGAGCACTTGATAATCACCGTACCTACAAAACGCCAATTCACTGTAAAAATTGCACCAACCATTCAAAGGGGGACTTTCGTTGAGCGAAGAAATTCTTCCAGTAAGTCGGGTCGGTGAAAGCCGAGGCCCCCTCGAGTTTTGACGGCAAAAGCCTCGTCATGGCCCTAAATTCATATTTTTAAACTCAGTCAAAGAGTTTAGGTGCCTCTGACAGTCGAAGCTTTTCAAATAATTTTGGCAAAACGACCGCTCGAAGATAGGACAATAAATACAACAACATATTTACCCGCATCGTTATATTCAAGGTCAAAGGTACATGATGAAATGGAAATCGTGGTCGTCCGAGTATCACACACGATACAATGATGTACATCACAAACGTTGCGAAGGGGAAATATTTTGCACCGGGGAAAAGTATTCGAGATGCGAGTACCAAAAAAAGGGAATGAAAGTACCACGAATATGCCAAAACGGCTAAACACCACGTGCAACACGGGGATCTCTAACGCCTTGTCGCTGAGCTTGTGGTGCAGCAGCAGGGTTTGATCGCGATTGGGCCGCCTGAAAAGTATGAAACTGTTTTGAACACATGACTTACCGCTTGCATAGGTGGTCCTGGTCTTCGTGGATCTCTCAATTGTTGCTGGGCCGCTGGGTCACCGCGAGGAGGCCTAAAAACCAATTTTCCGCTCACAAAACACGAAACCATACTTTTGATAGGCGGCGTGCGCTTGGTTCGGTTCGCTCATATTCGGCAGCTCGCTGAAGTCCATGTGAAAATAGCTGATCCGCGCCAGCTCGCTCTGTTTCCCGCAATGCACCTTCAGTTGCAACTAAACAGGATGACCCTAGGGCAATGAAGTGGATATTACCATGAAGACGTTTGTGCTCAAATTTCGAAGTCGAAGGACATCGCCGACGCGGATCACACTGAATACAAGTTAGCCGAAAGGAAAGATCGCTGCTTACTTGAAATATTCACCGGTAGCAATGTCGAGCATGATGCTACCCGAGGAATCTGCCACTTTCAAGGTGTGTACTTGTTCTCCATGCGCTCGCGTTCGTATAGACCCTGAAAAACATGATAAAAACAAAATATGACATCGGCGGTGCAAAATTTGACAATCCTAAAATCTCACCTCTCTCAATTACAATCACGATTAGCGAGAAATTTTTCGATGTCGGGGTAATTGAGCTGATTAAATCTGGCTTTTGCAATGGCTGTTCCATTAGAGCTGAAAATAGCGGAATCATGACCCGTTCTATATTAAGAACCTGTAGATATCCGTCAAATGGGGCTCTGTTATTAACCGCACAGCAATTCAAGGTCTTGCACACCAAAAACTCTTTATTGACAATAGCCGTAAAACTAGCAGCATACCGAATCACACAATATGGGAAACACCCGCATAGCATATCTTGGGAAAAGCTAAATACATAAGAATCTAAATGGCACAGATGATAGTTATATAACGTCCTCGTCGCTGCTGGACCCGACGTCGAGGAGGACATTTGTGTCTTCCTAAATCCAAAATGAATGTTAGGAGATGACGATTAACCTTTTTCTTGTTCTTCTTGCTGCTCGTCACATTGAGCTCCCCAGAGGGGTTGTTTCTTCGCGAGAACAAGACTTGAAAATCCTCTTCCTGAACTATTTGCTTTTCAATTTTGGCATCCTGTCGAAAGTACCTACGCGTTCCGGAGTTCACCCACCTCATCCTCTTCCGCATTGCCAAAGGACAGCGGCCGGTAGCCGCGCGTCGCCTCGGGTCGTGTCCAATTCGGGTCGTTCTTCAGTACCGTGTTCCGGCACATCAACCCGAAGATGAGCAGAACGATGCATAAAGATGGCACCAATATTACCAGGAAGCCAAGCGAGTCCTATAAGAGGATTAAGATTTTTGGAACTCGCATGTACATAGCCATTTTTGGCTGTTTATGAGCCTCGTTGCGCATAAATCACGACGTAAGCCAAATTCCTACCGTAAACCCAATATAAAACATCGAGTGTCCGATGGGACCGTCGGACGGGAATAGTGGCCGCTCCGTTCCAGAGGTCGTAGCTTCGGCTGCGTTTGCTTGGCTCTTCAGTGCTTTCTTGATAATAGTCAGAGAACCGTTGTTGGGAGCCGGCGTAATCTAATAAAATTATATCAAAAGACATTAATTCACCTTTAATATGCTGCAAATCAGAGGGTAGATATCGATATTTGTGGGGATTTCAGTAATCTAAAAAGCGTAAAGGGATGCTTCAAGCTTGGCACCATTTTCCTCGACTCGAAAGCAGGCCCACGCATCGCCAGCAGCGCCCTCATTTCCGGGCGCTTCGGGTCCATCCCGTGTGTTGACGAGTGGAACGTCTTTGTACCATTTGGCCCTGGGACTTTGTTGTTCGTAGCAGCGTGCCGCCTACCGTATTCCTTCTCATACTCCTTTTGACTGCATGAGAATGAGAGACCGGATCCGATCTGCAAAAACGATCAGAATTCCCCCTAAAACTCACCGTTGGATTGATGATAATCTCGCCGACCCTGCTCGAATTTTTGTAGTGCAGATCCGGCGACAAATCCTTCTTCCAAAGCACTTCAATCTTGTAGCCCTCCTCTTTGGCGCGCGTAAGATTCTTGAAGACTTCGTTTGCATGGTCATCATCCTAAATTAAAAAAAACATTAGATATTTTATCCAAAATACCGTTGGATAAATCATATGGTCACCCATCTCGAAGCCAGTGCCCAGAACATAGTCGCGAATACAAAACACCGATTTATAGCCTTGGATCTAAATTTCAAAATCTTACAAAGTGCAACATCTTTTTCTACCTGAGCATGTCCGTGATCGGCCGTCAATATAATATTCAGCCGATCCTCCAAGTTGAGCGCTTTTGCTCGATAGATCAAGTAGTCGAACGCTTTATCAACTTGTTGGATCTAAAACCATGGAAGTTCATATGAATTTTCCGTACCGTTTTATTGAATTCGCCATTGTAGAAGCCGTTTTCATGAAGCACCGAGTCCGGCTCGGCCAAATAACTACACAGAATTTATTTGTAGCAAGGTTTCAATAGCCTACAAAGCTCCAAAGTTGACGCCGTAATCGAGAAACTGCTCGAGCATGGTGTCAATATCTTCGATCCACGTCGTCAGATTCCCGCGATGTTTCCACGCTCTGCGCAGAAGATAGTGTTTTCGAGAATTACAACAAACCTAAACCATTTCGGATGATGCGGCGCCATTGGAAAATTAGCTTCTACCATCGGCCAGTCAAGAACGGCGGATTTACGGCTATCACCGGCTTTTTCGTTGGTTAGCCAGACTAAAAAGGATGTGATCACAACAAGAAAAAAAAGACCATACTGGGTTCCCCAAGATACCAGCTCGAATCCATCTCTTTGTCGCTTCTCCTACCCGTGTAGTTGAAATAGTCAAATCTGAGAATGTTGTAAAATTTTCAAAAAACGATAGGTAACGCTAACTGTTTGTCATCCTTGTGGTCGAAGAAGAAATTCGACACAATTCCATGGTTTTCCTCATACAGCCCAGTGGCGATACTCATGTGATTCGGTGCCGTAAAGGTGACATACTGACTCTAAAATCGGCATTTTTCGCGTCTGAAAAAGAAGATCGAACCTGTGACCCGTTGACGAACCATACGGCTTCTTTCGCCCACTTGTAGATATTCGGGACCTACAAAAAAATGAAAAATAAAATATGATATGGGAAAACCGTGGTTTCGTTGAGTAGGTCGTGCCGAAAGCCATCGAACGATACAAGCAGCACGAGTGGGTTCACATTTGTGGCCTCCGTCAAACGTCCGAGGAGCAGCAACAGAGCGGCTGCTAGCAGGCCATGCCTTGGCATGTGATGCCTAAAAAGCCCTAGATGAGTAACCGCGGTTGCCGTTAATGTAAGGCCGAAAGAAACCCGGCATTATACTTGTGAAACAAAGTCAGCTCCTTCGCAAAATACTTTTAAAGCGCCCGTACGGTACGCCTATGATTTAAGGAACCTGGAGCTCCACTTCTGGGGGCCAACAATTAGCCTAATCTGTTTACCAGGAATAATGGTTCGTGGGCCCGGATTAATTTAATGGATTCTCCCCGGCGCCGTCCCAATTTTGAATCGTGGAGGCCCGCGCTTCGGGTAATTATTCCCGGCGACGATGGAATGCGAGATGGGGGCAAGGATGGGGGAAAGTGAAAGAGACGGTCGCAGAAGGAGGGAGGCTGTTAGGGGAGAAAGGGGGGGGGGGAAAGACCCTGGTCGATTCGGGAGGCCCCGGCGGGCAGAAAAGGGGGCCCTCCACGGCCAGCCAAGCAGACCACACACACAAACACGCATCGCCCCTCCAGTCATATGGGATCTTTTCCACTGGCTGATTCCAAAAGCAAATCGATTCTAAGTGTATTTTTTATTGTTTGTTAATAATTTATGCTTTAATCGAGTAGCCCGAAAAAGACGCCCTCCAAATATTTTTTTGCAAAATTACGTCTAGATAAGTTCATTTTGTTAATTACGTTAATGGCGACCTTTTCGGCGGGGGTACCCTGCGATTGTGTACCAGTTTGTCAACCCCATTTTGACCGTTAATCGCAACTCGCTTTGCTTTTTGGATGATTTACCCCTACAGTTACTCTCTTTACGCAAAACAAAATACCGGCAACTGATAACCATTAACTGTAAAAGAAATTACTTGTATTTTCAAGCGCTCTCTCAAACCCCGGCCTCTATTTCTTCCCAATAAACTTTTAAAAAAAGCTAGGCTATTTCAGAAGGCGCTGCACGTAAATGGAAAGCGCTTCGGCTTCAGCGGCGCAACGATGAAGCATATTTTTGTGATCGGGCAAGTTATTTGGTTAGCCAACTTTTTGCCCACGGAGCCGGGCGGACGGCGAGCGCATTTGATCAACGCGTCGATAGGTGCCGATCGTACCCGAAAAATTGCAAAGTGAAAAGTTTAGTTGGCGAACGAATAAGCTATTTTGGAGCTAAAAACACTATATTTTCAAAGTGATAAACTCTCTTGTTTCAATCAAAATGATTGAGTCCGATAATCTTTTTTGTACCATACAAATCGACCAAATCGAAGCATTAAAATCCAGCGTTACTGTAAGGGGTTACGGTAATTGCACAATGAGTGTTCTTTTAAGCCATATTTTAAAAATACAATCTTTTTCAATGTGATTGGCGGTAGTATATTTTACACAAAAAGGCGGTAAAACCAGATAATTATGTGCCCGCCTGCGCGTAAAAAAAAAATAGAAAAAGTGAAGCATCTAGGATTAAAATAGCTGTATACAAAAGTTTTCAGGCTTATCTTCTTACCGCTTGTCGTGTCATATCGTAAATGCGATTCCTCCGATTTTCGCTATGAATACACACAGGTGAGCCAGGTGGAAAAGTAAGAAAAATGGCTTTCAGTGTTCGGACCGAGGTGAACGTTGGCGGGTGGCGATCCCGCGCGACGATTCGGATTGCCGAGGCGGCGTGCCCGACCCGGAGAAGGGGCTGAATTGCAGTGAGTTTTCTGGTCTTTTGCAATCCTTAAAAAAGAATGCTTCTGAATATGGCGATTTTCAGCTTTTTCCTGCGGTCCCGGAAGCTATCTGGACTTGGAAACGCAAACGTGTAGGCTCTGCAATGCTGGTAAGTCTTTTCGGGTTTGCTTTATTATGTTTTTAGCTCCAGAGAAGATAGATGTTATGGAAAAACATTCCTTTAGGTCGCTACTCCCTGGGAGGCGGCATCCGTTTTGAGGAGTTCCAGCGGCTGCCCTCCGGCTTCACCGTCGACAATATCGATTCGATGGCGGATCTGGTGCTCCAAACCAGCACTCAGAGCACCACAATTCAATGCTCGGCCGAGTCGGTTGCTCCAATTTTCGCGTACACACATTTTTTTAGGCTGGGTTGGCTGGTGAAGGACACGGAGCTCGTATATCTACCATCGCCCTGCGTCTCCAAGCTCTCCTTCACGACGACGCTGGTTAGGCCGGGCTACGTCGAATATGTTTATCGGTCAGGGTTCTTGCTTTTATGTTTACAAGCCATTTTTAGGATGCCGAAAAATAGCCGTGGGCTCGTGCTGAACGTTGTGGTGAAAAATGAGCAGTGTCAGAGCTACAGGTACCGTTTTCGGCGCTCAGGGTTCAACTCGAAATTTGCAAACCTGGATTTCCGGCGTTTTTTGGTTCCCTTGAACACCTAATCCCTGAAAAAAGCTTGTTTTGGGTGGTTGTAAGGTGTTCCCAGATTAGGGCCATTTTTAGGGGCCGGGGGAGAAGCTTAAAAGCTAGACGTGGGATTAGAGCCCCTTCAAAAGGCTCATGTTTGCAGAGACGACGTGAAATCGATGCTGATGGGGACGGCGCAGCCAAGCGAAGGCCAACAGCACCACGACGACTCGCAGGCAAACGGCGATTGGCAGCGGAAGGTAGCAGGAATTTAGATAAAGTTAATAGCTCCATTTCAGCGGCTCGACTTGCGCCGTGGCGTTAACGTCATCAGCTGGACGGTGATCAACAATCGCGAGATGTCGCTGCAACGAGAGCCGATTCGCGTGGCACGTATTGACGTCGTCGGTTAGTCACGTTTTACATGGCAACTTGGATTCGGTTCTAAGGTATCGCGTTCACCAGGGAGTGCCCATTATGTCCGGAGGGGACATTTTCCAAGGAAGGAGCCTCCGAGTGCCAGCCCTGCGAGCCGGGATGGTTTGCTGGCCGGGGAAGTGCCGAATGCGGGCGTTGCCCAACTTCACAGTACTCTGGTGGGCATCGCATGGCCCGGGGGACGACTGGTTTTAGGGTACAAGTCGAGCAAATGCATTGACCGCCCGGCGTGTCAGCCGACTGATTATTACCCCGTGCACGAGCCTTGCACGAATGGCAAGACAAAAGTGACGTATAAGAAGGTGCTGCCGGCGCTGTGTCGAGAGGACCTTCCAGGAGCAGCTCAGGTAAGAGCTTTTTGAAATTAAAGACGTTTCATCCATAAAATAAAAGCCAATTGGAAATTTTGCGTTTCAGGTTCCCCCGGACGAGCCGGAGAAGCCGTGCCCCCCCTGCAACCCTGGGATGGCCGTGAATGGGAGCGGCACCTGCGTATTTTGCGCCCAGGGCCATTTCTCCGACGGGAATCGTTAGTGGAACGCTTTGTTTCTATACCAAACCTGGTTTAGAGTGTGAAAAATGCCCGACAGCCACAATTCCCGACTACGGCTATCATTACGTGCAGTGGAATTCGCTGCCCCCGGGCATACAGACAAAATGTGAATATGTGTCGGAGGGTGGGTCTTCATTGCAAACGAAAGCTCATACGAAAATTATTAGTTTTGTATGAAAATCAATCCTAAAAACCAGAAATATTTTTTCTTTTTACGATAAAGATGGTTTGTGAGCATTATTTAGTTTTGAAACTAGGGATCGAAAATGATGGATAAGTCATACGTTTTTAGGGATACAGAGGGTTTTCCATATATACATGCTTTTCAGAAGTGGTTGCAAAATGCGATATCGGCCCGGCATGGCTCCCGGATGGGACGGCTCTTGTCAGCGCACCCTCGCTGCAGACCGGAATCGCCCTGGAGATGGTGTTGGATGTACCTGAAGGTATGAATTAAAATTTGCTGGCCTCATCATCAGTTCCAGGTTTCACAAACCCGCTTCTTCCCCGAAATGCGTACGCCTCGCTGACGAACCCCGTCGGGCACCTGACCATCGTTTTCGAGAGCCACTGCGCCGACGATTCGTGTGCCCTATATTTCATCGAGGTGCGATTGAAACTATTGATTTGCTGACTTGGCCATTTTTAGGACGCCACGCCCCAGGGTCCGCAGCCATACTTCCGGTTTTTGGCGGCGTTCAGCGGCGGGCAGGCGCGACGTGTCTGGACCCATCCGATTGCGAAGAAGACGCCAGGAAGATTTTTGGTGTGTTTTTAGTCTCTCTCTCTCTCTCTCTCTCTCTCTCTCTATCTCTCTCACTCCATCTATGTCTGCCATGTCAGGTGGCGTTCATCCGGTCTCGCGCAGCCAGTGGTGAGGATATCATCACGGACCAGGCCAAGATATTCTCGGTGAATGTGACAAACGTTGGTAAGCAATAATAATTTAATACGAATGAATTTAATATACAGAAAGTTTAATCTTAATTTATCAACATATTTCAGGGCACCGTAACGGAGTGCAGGGCGGAGGCGCCTCGGAATGTCAGCGCTGCCCGGATTCCGGGAACGGCGACTGTATCCCGTGTCCGAAGGGGCATTATATGGCTCATGAGGTTGGCAAAAGTTTACTGCCATTACAGTAAAATAGCGTAAGCGCTCCTACAAGTTTATTGCATTCAAAATCACTCTTATTCCCAAATCGTCAGGATCGAAAATGCATCAAATGCCCGGCTGGCACCTATCTGAATGTCTCATCATCTAGACTGGGACCCGAGAGCTGCTTGAAGGTTGGAATTAGTGGGTTACTGTAAAAAACGCTCCCTTTAGTGCGGGCCAAACTTGGAAAGTGACGGTGACAGCTGCATCTCGAACGGCAAATTTTCGATCAGCCTCGCCGGAAACCGTACGCGCGACTATGATTTGAGCAGCCTGAAAGACAAGTGCGTTTTGCATCAAATGTTGTGCTTTGACTTTTACTAGAGTCTTATTTAATGAGCTTTTCAGGCCCCTGACCGTAGAGGGTGTGAAGGTTTTTGCGCGTGAGGGCACCTCGTATTTCCACACGTTCAACATCTCGCTACTCGGCGGCTATGTGGAGTGCAAAGAGGATTTTGAGCAGCGCGATCAGCTGCTGCTCTACGGCGTGGTACTGCTGACGGGTGGCGGTTTCTGATGCGATTTTTAGAACCACGAGCTCGCCGGGGGAGCGGCTTGTCGGATAACGTCGGTGCCGATTCTGGAAAAGACGAAGAACTCGACGAAGAAGTTTGCGTCTGTATCCCCGCTATTGTAGGGTTTTCACTCAGGTATTTTTCATCAGCTTTTAGGCTTGGCATTCAACTCGAAGCGATCACGACGGAGAAAGAATGGGATGGCTGGAAGTTGGACGATAAGCTGTTGGATACCGGTGAGTGTTTTTGCAATGAGCTAAAAGCAGGAAATTTCAGCCTTCGTCACGAACAGCACGGCCAGCACGCCGGATGTGCATTTCTTCTTCTCATCCCCACATATCCCTTCCGACGTTTGCCCGCGAGGGTCGGCAATAGCATTGACTGCTCGATGTGATCCGCACCAAGACAAAGCTGAGGTATGTTTTGCTTTTTACTTGGCGGTATTTTGAACGATACGCTTCAAATTCCAGTTGCACCTCCCTCGTGGATGTCCTGATGGTACTTGCGATGGTTGTCTATATCATGCCCTCCTCGAATCGTCTATCGCCTGCCCGCTTTGCCGGCCCACCGATTATACAGTAATCAAAGGGGAATGCATAGACGGCTGGCAAACGGTGCACTCGATTCCGGATAAGTAAGTTATAGAAGGGAGAGTACAGACGTACAATCCTAATTACGGTACCCTCCCACCCTTTAGACAATGCGTCCTCTCCGGCGCCGCTTCACAAGAGCACCGTCAGCACTGCTCGGTGCTGTCGGCCCACCTAAAGCTGCTGATCTCGGGCGGAACGATGGCGCTGTTGATGCTCGCCCTTATCCTATGCTGGATTTGTCAGAAGAACAGGAGGTACGTACGGCTGTCATACTGAATGGTTTAATTGAATTATCAATCTAATTTGAATATATAATTGCAAGGGATAATAACTTAAACCTAATGAAAAATTAAAAGCTATTAAATACCATGAATTCAGGCTCGAATACAAATACATGAAATTGGCCGAGTCAAAGGGCGGCGGTTTTGAGTTGCCTATCGCCGAGACGTGCGGTCTGGATTCGGATGAGGAGGACGAGGATGTGAGTATCAGGGTTTCAAAATGTCAAAATTACAAACTTTTGCCAAGGATCCAGTTTTTTTAATAAAAATAGAGGAAGCTTTTACATAAGCATGCCATTTCTGGACTTATAAGAAAAAAATTCGGGCTGGAAAAAACAAAAAGAAACGAAAAACAAAAAAAACGGAGCTTTTTCAGCAACAACAAGATCGGGTGATCTTCGCGAAGGGGCGCAGCAAATTCTTCGGTGCCAAGAAGGAGCGCACGGCTGCCGGGGGCGCGAGGGCGCCCTTCGTCCAACTGAACGACCAGGACGAGGACGACGATTGATTACGGTGGCCCCGGGGCACTATTTAGGTTTCTCCTCTTTACGCATATCTTCGTTTTGGTACTTGTTTTATAGCGGGGGGAGCAAACTTTTTGTATTATTATCTTTTCCTGAACATGAAAGCTAGAAGTTGCATTAAAAGCCTAAAGTTTTGGTCGAAAAATCGATTCAATATTAAAATTTTCATAGTTTTTAGTTGAGATATTTTAAGCATTTTTAAAAATTTGTTTAGTAACACCCCCCCGCTAATACCCAAGTACCGTTTTAAAATTTCCAATTCCGTTTTCTCCTCCCCTGGGTATTTGGATTGTGGTCACTTGTGTGCATTCGTTTTTGCGGGGGCTTGAAGTTGGGCTCGACGAGACAGTTGGCAGCAACCTTTGAGGAATTTTTAGAAAAGAAAAGGCCCATTTCAAGCCCAGATAATTTTTTTTAACTTTTTAACCGTTTCGATTTCCGGTTCATTCTTCCCTCCTTCAAATCGTGTACATATTTCGTCGAAATTGTCCGAGATGCCAAATCATTTTTTTCGACTAGCCCGATGCCCTTGGAAACTGTGCTGAATAAAGTGTAAGATGCTATTTTATCGGTTAGAAAAAGATCGAGTGGCAGTAGGGAAGATGAAAATGACACGACAGGAATATTGTGGGAAAAGAGAGATAGAAAGCGAGAGCGAAAGAGAGAGAGAGAGAGGGGGGAGAGAGCGAGCGAGAGAGCCAAATTGCTGCCTAGAATTGTTGATCTCATGGTAATAAGCTGCAAATTCACACTGGAAGACCCTGAGAGTTCAAAAAGAAATGAAGAAAGTCCTAAAAAAGCCCAAAAAAATAGATGTACGCTTAATACAGCAAAATTTTTGGAGGCAACGTAAAAATTAAGAAAAACTAAAGAATACAAATCCGATTACGGCATGAAATTTGGAAAGCGCAGTACACCAAAAACTAATAATTTTAGGTTTAGGTTTTCGAAAGGTTTCGGCTTTAAAAGCCACCCTGAAAAGCGAAAAAGATAGGTTCTGGTTCAATAACGGCGGGTAGGGGTATATTTAGCCCGGAATCTATCCGGAATTTGAAATTTATTAAGATTTCTTGTGTCTAAAAATAGTGCATATTTCATTATTAGGAAACTCCGGAAACAGGAAAATTTACCCCTCCCCGCTAACACACCAGTACCAATAGCGCAACGCTCACTCCCAAATAATCAAGATCACTACGAGAAGATACAATATACAAAAGAGCCCGTAGGAGAGACAGACGCCCAGTAGCGCCATCCGCTTCCGGTGGCCAAGTGTGTTGGCGGTGATCTGGCGATGGAGCGGCACCTCCTGTGATACGGTAGATTGGGTCATGGTTTAGGGGGGGCGATACCTGACCGGGACATCCTCGAATCACGTGGCTCTCCACTTTTTTGCTGGGCAAAGTGTTTGCCCGCGAATTTTTGGATGGCCATCATTGCTTTCCGGCCCTGGAGGAGGGGAGAAGCTGCAAAAAAGCTGTGGGTTTTATGGAAACGGGAAGTGTGTCCTCACTATGGATTTTGTAGCGCGTACCAGAAGCAACGCTTGGGTCGCGCTTGCAACGCGCCGTATATAGACGAAGCGCGCTAGCGGTGCGCACGCGTTGGCTATCTGGACGCGACACGCAAAGCGCTGGCTATCTAGACGCGCAACGTGCAGGCCAACGGTACGTAACGCGCTGGCCAGCGACGCGTAATGCGCTTGCGCGTATCGCGGGAAAATCCTAGAAGTGCCTTCCCGGTCCCTTTAAAGGCGGCTAAGTAATGCTACTAACGATAAGGCCCGTCGTAAAATGTTAAAGGATACTGTGGAAAGCGACAGGTTTTAGGAAACAGCAGTCAGTACATTTTTTAGTAGTAGAAAATGGTAATTTCTGTTAGAAAAAGCCGAAAAACAGACGCCATCCATCGTCCTCCTCGCGGGTCCAACTGATCGGGAAATGGCCCTTCCTGCCGCTCAGCCTCTCCGCCACTTCCGTGTCAACACTCTCCACCGTGGTCGCCTCGCTTTCCGCCCGTGGTGCACGGTGGACTACGGTAGCTCGGGGTGCTGAACAGGGTGCCATGCGGTTAGGAAAGGACAGGATTTTAAACATAATTAACGGAAGCAACGGCCAATTTTTATTTAGATGAAATTACCATCAGGACTGGTTTCCGGAGAGGCCAAATTGGCGGGCCGGCCGTTGACGTCGACGAGTAGCGTGTATTTGACGCGACGGGCCGGTAGCGTGACGTCAACGATTAGCAGAAACACCTGAGAGACATCATACGGTCATAGGGGCGATTTTTAGGACATACCGTATGCAGGAAGGTGGAGCACAACCAGAGATCCTTCATGGTTAGCGTCGGGTAGGAGCGCTGGGAGGAGAGCTGAAAAGAGGATTCACTTTTAATTGGGTACTGGACTGTTAGCGGGGGGGGGCTAATTTTGTTTTTTCGTCTTTTGGTATCTTTTTAATACTGTTTTAATAGTTTTTTAGTACTTTTCGATTCCCAAGAAAGTTTGATATTAATCCTTTTTAGAAAACAAAATTTCTGAAAATCTGACCAATTTGCATCCATTTTTGACAAAAAAAAAAGACTTTTTCGCAAATTTTACGATTTTTTCTACACTTTTTGGCTTTAGAAAAATTTTTACCGCCAATAAAAAATTTGGCGGCTACCACGGCTACGGCTACCGCAACTTTTACCCCCCCCCCCCGCAAACGAAACAGTACCCGAAAAACCCTCACCAAAATGATGATGCACACCAGCGCGGCGACGGTGACGATCACCTGGATTTTTCGGCGTTTCCACTGGGCAAAAACGACCTGAAAGAGTGGGTACGGTAGTTGATCAACGTTTTTAAAACGTACCACAGCAAAGACGAGAAACGACGGCAGATATACGGAAACGAGGGCCGTGTGCCAGGTTGCGCGAAACCACAGCCTTATCAACGGCACTGGCCATTCCTCTAAAAAAGTTGAAATTTCCCCAAGAACCTCTGCTGGCCCACCAATTTCCAGCCCGACCTGTCGCATCTGGATTCGTGGCCGTGCGTCACGATGGTCGACGACACGGAGCAGTTCATCTGGACGCCGATATGGTCATCTACAAGTCAAGAATCCCCCACCTCCAGCATTTTCAATCGCCAGCTCGCAGTTGAACACCTCGAAGGGGTGGCGCCAAGAGTCGCCCGAGCACGGGATTACCTCTTTCACCCTGACATTTTGAGGTATCCATTAAAGAAGCTCCCCTGAACATACCTATAATAATAATTGAGCTCGCCGGTTTGTGGTGAGAGGTAGTAGTTGATCTTTAGCTGCGTCGGCGGGCTGTAACAAAAGCTTTGGAATAACTTTTTAGAATGTTAAAATACGAAAGTTTGGTCGAAAACCCTTTCTTCTATCATTGCTCATTTGAATCATAATTTTATTTGGATTTTAATGAGCACCAAAATTGCTTTAATAAATCATTAACGGTAAAAGTTACCTTGTGCCGATCCTCGGCTTCCACGGCTCAAATTCGGTGATTTCAAAGCGGTCGTGCAGCTCCCTCAGAATCAGGCGATCATCGACAAATGTGCAGAGCACGAACGCTTCGATGGCTATCGAATTCTAAAAATATCGACATTCATTGGGTAATCAGTTCGTACAACGACGCGACCCCGTTCACCAACAACGAACGGACCTGTGTTCGGATCGAATTCAAGATGTGCAGCTCGGTATCGATCGAGAAGCGCGTCCCGTTTTCGTCTAAACGAAAGTATATGGTTTTCACTACTATAAATGGTACCAGAAATGTAGTTGTCGCGCGAGACGGGCCGGACCGACGCGAAGTAGTACTTGAACTTCCGGGCAAGCTCATTCCGCTCCAGGAGGGTCAGACTGAAAATGAAAGAGTACGATTTTATGATTAGGCTGTCAGGAAGCCAATAATTATAAGCGTCTCGAGCCTACTTTCTACCTGTTCACGACGTGAAGCCATGAAGCGAGAAGCAGGAGAAGGTGCGGGTGCATCGTCGTCGGACATCCCTCACTACGGCCACATCATAGTAGAGCGGCAGGGAGGGGGGGTTCTGGAATTGAGGTCTTAACGATGAATAGATGGTAAGTTACAATATTAGGAAGAGAACGAGAAAGAGGGAGAGAGAGAGAAAGTGAGTGAGAGAGGGAGAGAGAGAAAGTGAGAGAGAGAGAGAGTGTGGGAGAGATAGAGCAAGATAGAGAGATAGATAGAGAGAAAGAAAGAGAGAGATAGATAGATAGAGATAAAGAAAGAGAGAGAGAGAGAGAGAGAGAGAGAGAGAGAGAGAGAGAGAGAGGGAGAGCGAGAGAGAGACAGAGAGAGAAAAGAGTAAAGCACCCCAAAAACAAGGGCCCAGATTGGCCACAGTGATAAGCGGAGGGGGCCCGTCAGAAATATGAGGGCTTGGTGGTGCACGGGCTCCCAAACAAAACGACTTTTTTAGGGCCAAAGATGAGAGGAGGGTCGGGGGTGGAGGGTCGAACGGCTGATGGGGAGGATCGCTTTACAGGAGCACAACGAAACAACGATTTTCCGGTTGAGTCAATGGGTCAAAGAAAACTTGAGAAAAAGAAGGGATTTTTAGAGTTCAAAGTTTCGAATTTTTCAAGCATTTTTATAAGGTTCTAGCAATAAAAAACTACCTAAAATACCATAAAAATACACATTAGTTATCATTATTCGTAGCGGCAAGAACTGTGCGGCTTTCTTATTAAAAACAGCACAAAAAAAATGGAATTTAGACCAAAATTCCACCTTAAAACCATTTTTTAGGTTTTCGATGGTCCTAGTTGAAATATAGTTATATTTTCTAACAACTAACACAAATATTTCCCATTCAGTTACTAGGCCTCGCTAGAATTAAAAATTTCTGTCCCCCCCCCCTCCCCCGATAACGGGAAAGAACCGCGAATTGTAAAACACAAAGCGCAGAGCTCAAAACTGGCAATGCAACCATCAAAACGTCAGGTGCCTTAAT